TTTTTTTTTTTTTTTTTTGAATTGAATATCCGTGTATTATTTTTAAAAATATCTAATAATTATTTTATTTATTCTCCATTTTATATATATTATATCAAATCCACTTATTTTCAGTGATGTTCTATTTCACACATGCATTCCATATATAAAATAAACTTATACAATAATTTATATATATAATATGTCAATTCTAATTTCAAATAATATATAGACCTAAGATGATCTCATAGAATAAATTAAAACATTTATATGAAATTAAATTTATAAACATAAAATAGAATAAGATAAATATATAGGTTTGGAAACATTACACTAAGAGTAATGTACACAATGCATGAAAATGAACAACCACCTGGAAAGCAAGACAAGACAGACAATTCTGGAAATTTGATAGTAAGGGTATATTCTCAGTCTCCAGTACTTACTCTCACTTATCTTACTCTCACTTATCAAAGCAGAAGCTTCTTTGGACATGCTTGGCTGCTCTTCCACATGTAATGCTCAATCTTCTGCATTTTTAAAATGTTGGAATCTGAAAATCTTCGGAAAGGTTAAGCATTTTATTTGGAAGTGCATTATTGGCACTCTACCTATCGAAACTAATTTGAAAAAAAAAAGGAATAGATGTTGATGTTATCGGCCAACACTGTGGGAAGTTCCTGAAACTGTGGAACATATGCTTTTCCATTGCCCCCAAGGCAGCAAGAGTTTGGGAGATCTCTCTAGTCACTTGGGCAGAATTGCACTCTATAACTTCATTCAGATATTGGTGGAATCACATATGCACTATGGGAGCTTCTGATATTGCCAAAGCCAGAATTGAACTCACTACATATATGCTCTGGTGGTTTTGGAAGTCCTGGAACCTGTGGATATTCCATGGTCAATCCATGCCTGCTTACCTGATTGTGAAGGTTGCCCAAGAGGAATGGCTTGAATTTTCCTACTTAGAATAATAGTTCCTGTTACATTTCAGTTTTTGTTCTCTTATTTTATCTTTGTTTTGTTTTAGTTGATGGATTGTTTGTATTCCCTCTAGGCCTTTGGGCAGTGGAGGGTTTTAAGTTGAGGTTAGCTTTTTCGTTGCTTGTGTTCTAGGTCACTTTTAGTCTGTCCTTTCAGT